TCTCTCACTTATGTTTCTAACTCTCTATCCCTCTCCCTTCCTCTCTGTAAAAAATCAATAAAATATATTTAAAAAAAAGTTTTATTATGTTACTCATAAATTGTCCCAGCCTGTGTTGCTCAGTTGGCTGGAGCATCTTCCCTTACACCAAGAGGTGGCGGGTTCGATTCCCAGTCAGGACACATACCCAGGTTGCGGGTTCGATCCTCAATTGGGGCACATATGGGAGGCAACAATCGATGTTTCTCTCGCTCTTCCTCGCTCTCTCTCACATCAATAAAAGCATATCCTCGAGTAGGATTAAAAATGTTTTTAATTACTCAAACTGAAGAAAGACTACAGCAAGTGTGGTATTTATTTAGCCATAAAAACATGAAAGCAGTTTGATTGGAAAGGGTGTGAGGAGGGTTGAACTTGGGTAGGTCACAGCAGAATAGCCCCAAAATGAGAGAGAATTGCAAAGGAGCTGATCCAACTTGAAGCCCGTGTTTAAAAGGAGCCAGCAGGAGGAAGGAGGAGGGGACGGGTGCTGGGGGCCCCTCAGGGAGACTGCCCCCCATGCAACGGTGTTCGTGGACTGTGCCTTACGCTGCTACTGGGGGGCAGAAGGGGTGATTGTCAGCAAATGGGGGAAGTCACATGTGCACGGAGACACGAGTCCTCCAGTTCCCCATCACATGAGCTACAGTGTCCCAGAGACACATGCTGTGGCAGAACAAGCTGTTCCCACTGCCCCCAGTTTTGCAAAGGAGGAACTTGGGGCTCGCAGAGGGCGCGTGCCTTGTCCTGGGATCATGCCAGGCCTGGCCGGACCCCCATGCCAGGCTGCACTCACCCGGCGTGTAGCCCCAAGGCTCATAGTAGGAGGGGAAGACCCCCAGGTGGCAGCCACGGACGAACTCTTCATAGTCCACGGGCAGCAGGGGGCTGGTGGAGGACAGGAACTCCGGGTGGAAAATGACCTGGCAGCGAGAAAGAAGGACTCAGCCCGAGGCACCCCGTTTGTCTGGGGGTTCCAGGGCGGCCCACGGAGAGTGAAAATGTTATCTGAAGTCACGTAAGTCAGTGGCAGGACAAAGATTTTTTAAAAAATTATTATTATTATTGTCTAAAGTTTTACATATTCTAGTGTTGTCTCATTGGACATAATTTACCACTGGCCAGCCTCCAAATTCCCATACAGAACTTTGGGAATAGAGGTACTGTATAGCTTTTGGAAATTTAAGATATCTATAATAACTCACTGCATGCATACACGTCCTTTGGTTGCTCTCTAACCCACCCACCCCCCGTCCCCCCAGGACAAAGATTTGAATACCAGTCTGCCTGCTTCCAAAGCTAAGGTCCTTTCTAGACAGAGAAGTCCTTTGATAAATGAGGTGAGATGGGGCATGTGAGGCCCGGCCTCCCCATGCATACACGTCCTTTGGTTGCTCTCTAACCCACCCACCCCCCGTCCCCCCAGGACAAAGATTTGAATACCAGTCTGCCTGCTTCCAAAGCTAAGGTCCTTTCTAGACAGAGAAGTCCTTTGATAAATGAGGTGAGATGGGGCATGTAAGGCCCAGCCTCCTGCCACCATCCCGCCACCCTCCTGCAACGCCCAACCCACCCTGACCAGAGGTCTCACCTTGACCCTGTCGGCGCTGCTATTGAAGAGGCCAATCCGGCGAATGGTGGTCAGGATAGGGTCTGAGGAGTCGTCCAGCATATTGTGGGTGCACACAGGGGGGAAAGACTGCCGCTGCAGGGGCCACAAGTGGGGTGAGGATCAGGGGAGGGACATGCTGAACTTGGGAATCCAAAGAGACTACAACTCCCACCAGGCCGTGGGGCCACAAGCCCAAGGGATGACCAGGAGTTAGAGACTTCCTACTTGGCTCTATGGGTCAAGGTTCTTTTCCCCTTTTAGCCATCATCAGCTAAAAATAAACTACAATTCCCAGCTGTCTTTGAGGCAGAGCCAGCGTTAACCAACCCCAGGGATGACGGGGAGTTGTAGCTATCTTGTTCTGTATTCTTGGCTCTGTCATCACAAAAATTCAAAGAAACGAACGTCCCCCAGTGGACTTTGGGAGGGGGGCAGAGGCTGTGTCAAGCTCCAGGGGCTGCTGGAAGTTGCAGTTTTCTTATGAAAATCCTAGATTTCTTTCTTTCCAAGTCCCTTTACTCTCCATCCTATAATTCCCTCCACTTCCACCCCCACAGAGGTCCAAAGAAACCACAATTCCCAAGAGGGGTACCCCCGATTTCTTTCTTCGGTTCCCCAATGGAGGAGGATAGATAGAGCCAGGGCGACAGAAGTCCCAGGGGTGGGGGGTGGGGGTGCTGCTGGGATATTCAGGTTTTTTGCGAATATTCCATCATTTCTCTTATTAAGTGTTCTACACACCTACAGTCTACTGACGCCAGCAACCTAAGAAACTACAACTCCCAGCAGCCCCTAGGAAGAAACGTGCTCACTGAGGCCGACTGCCTTAGGGACTATTGGGAATTAGTTTGACCAAAAACAAGTCTTCTCTTGTTTGTGCTGCTTGAGGTTTCCATTCCCCAGGAAACGATCCACCAACCCGAAGACCCTTGACTCCAGAGAATGAACGAACTCGCAGAAGTCTCTGGGGCAAGAGAAGCATCAACATAGCAGAAAGCCCCACGGGCTGCTGGGAATGGTAGTTTTCATTTGGTGTCTGACAATTTTCTGAAACGGCAACTGCTGCGTTTTCAATATTCTTCAGAGAATTATAGGTGTTTTAGCTGACCTCCTGACTATCCCTAAAGAGGCCCAACAAAGCGACCGCTCCTAGCCGTCCCTGGGGACGGAGGTGGAGCTGGTAGGCAGCAAGGCTTTAGGACATGTGGGAGTTGCAATTCTCCTTTTGTAGCTCTCTTTTTCTATATATTTTATTGATTTTTTTACAGAGAGGAAGGGAGAAGGATAGAGAGTTAGAAAGATCGATGAGAGAGAAACATCGATCAGCTGCCTCCCGCACACTCCCTACTGGGGATGTGCCCGCAACCAAGGCACCTGCCCTTGACCGGAATCGAACCTGGGACCCTTGAGTCCACGGGCTGACGCTCTATCTGCTGAGCCAAACAGGCTAGGGCTGTAGCTCTCTTTTTATACATATATATTTTATTGATTTTTTTACAGAGAGGAAGGGAGAAGGATAGAGAGTTAGAGACATCGATCAGCTGCCTCCTGCACACTCCCTATTGGGGATATGCCCTCAATCAAGGTACATGCCCTTGACCGGGATCAAACCTGGGACCCTTCAGTCCGCAAGCCGACGCTCTATCCACTGAGCCAAACCGATTAGGGCTGTAGCTCTCTTGACTTTAAGTTCCCCTTCACCTACTGTCCATTGGCCGTGGGGGATGCAAAGAAACTACAACTCCCAACAACCCCATGTGGCAGAAGACGTCATGGGAAAGCTGGCTGCCGAAAGGGCTTCTGGGAATTGAAGTCCCACCAGTCAGCTCACCCCCCTTTTCGGAACCTCAGAACTGCCAGCAATCTCTGGGGTCAGAACTAACTTGGCCAGCCGCCTCTGGGGCCGCGGGGGGCTGCCTGTCCTCTGCTCAGGGGTCCGAATACCTGTGTGGCAAAGATGGCTCTCTTCATCATGGTGAAGTCCTCCTTGTCCAGCATCTTGTTCATGTCTGGGAGGCTCCCCCTGCAGGGTGGACAGGGGTATGCCTCTGAGGAGGGGTGAAGTGAGGGGTTAGGACCCAGGGCCGCGCAGGGCGGAGGGAGGGGCACTCACACCAGCAAGGACTCATAAAGCTTCCTTCCGAACTTCTCCTTCACTGTGTTGGCCGTATCCCTGGAAAGAGCAGAACAAGGTCACGTGTACACCAGCCACGTGCTGTGAGGTTTCTGGGGGCGGCCAGGAAACGGAGGTCTGAACAGAGAAGCCCCTGGGGGCTCCGGGCTGGAGGATGGGGACCCAGGGAACCCGTCCCGGAAGGCTCGGATGCCTTGGGCCTTGCAGCAGCTGTGTGTCCGGGGACAGGTGGCCTTCCCTCTCTCTGACTTCAGGGACTCGTGGGGAAGAGGGAGGTAAAAATAGAACGGACCTTAGAGGTGTGCGGGGAGAACTTGATGAGGTCATGACTAAAAGTACACAGTGCCCAGCACACAGTGCGCCTTCCAGAAATGTCAGCTATTCTTAGAGCCTGTCCTGGTCCTGGTGGTGGCCATGCGGAGCCCCATTTTATAAAGAAGGAAGATTATGTGGAGAGGATAAAATTTACGTACACAAACAAGGCTAGCAAATCGTGCCACCCGACAGCCCCACTGGCATCCCCCTGTTCATAATCTTCCCCGAGCCCTGGCCTCATTTTCTAGGCTCTTGGTCTAGGGCACTCTGCGCCAGACCCACGGGTCTCCTCACTGCGTCTCATACAGACCCCAGGGCCTTTGCACGTGCTGTTCCCCAGATACGCACAGGGCTTCCTCCCTCATTTCCTTTATTGGTCTCTACCCAATGGCACTTTTGCAGCGTGGCCTGTCCTGACAACCCTGTCTCATTATTCCTGTGCTGCTTCTCACCCCCTCCCCCAAGAGCACTTTCTATAGAATTTTCTGGAAAGAGAGCTCAGTGAGGGCAGGGATTTTTATCTCTTTTGTTCCCAGCTGTGTCCCCAGGGCCTGGAACAGTGCTTGGCATACAACAGGTGCTCACTGAACATGGGATTGCTGACGAACGGGCTTCACAAATGGGGAAGCGGGGGCTCAGAGAGGGGCAGTGGTTTGCCTAAAGCCGGAAAGCCAGCAAGCGGCATGAGTTAGACCTCAGGGGTTTGGTATCAGAGCCCTGGCCGCGCTGCCACGCTCGGACCGCCCGCGACTTCTTGCTGCTCCCGGCGGCGGAGGCGTCCTAAGCAAGCGACCTCACTCGGAAAGTCGGGGGGGGCAGGTTTGACCATGTGACACAGGACAGAAGCGAGACTCCGGGGGGAACCCTGGGCCCGAGGCACACCGCTGGGATCCCGGGCGGGGGCTGCTGACCAGAGCTGCTTGCGCACGGCCTGGCCCTTGAGCGTTTCCACGTTGAAGTTGTTGGTCCGCGCCGGCATGATGAAGAAGGCGACCACGGTCTGCTCACTGTTGTTGACCTGCAGGACGGGAAAGGGGGAGGGGAGGGGTCAGGGTCACACGGGAGGAGGCTGAGGCCCCTCACCCTCTTCCACCCACTGAGACGGCTGGGACCCTGCCGCGCCCCTTCCTGTCCAGGAGAAGCATAGGACAGCCCGGCCAGCGTGGCTCAGTGGTTGAGCACTGACCTCTGAACCAGGAGGTCACGGTTCGATTCCCAGTCAGGGCACATGCCCAGGTTGCGGGCTTGATCCCCAGTAGGAGGCAGCCGATCAATGATTCTCTCTCATCATTGATGTTTCTCTCTCTCCCTCTCTCCCTTTCCCTTCCTCTCTGAAATCAATAAAAATATATTTTAAAAAACCCACAAAAATGCATGAAACTGTTATGGAATTATGCCTGATTTTTCAGCATATTGTATATATATATTTTAAAAATAATAAAAGACTCCGTCTTCTTTCTGGGTTTCTGTACTTCCCACAGCGGATTCCCCACCCCCTCCGGCCTGGGTCTCTGTTCCTGCCCGTACATACGGATTTTTCTGGCCCTCCCTCTGCCTCCTCGTGGCCCAGGACTTACTCTGAGCAGATAGTTGAGCCGGGCCAAGGCCTCCAGGAAGATGTCGGCCCCTTTGTTGGAGAACTCGTAGCGGCCGGCGATGAAGAAGTACAACGTCTTGTCCAAGTTGAAGTCCAGGTGCCTACGGAAGCCAGAAGGTGGGGTGAAGCCGAGACCCGCCCCCTCTAAGAGTCCTGGCCTCGAGCCTGCCAACCCCAGAAGCTGCAGGGGCAAAGGTCATCACGGACAGTGCGGAGGCATCGTGGAGACTCCTCTGAGATTTGGGGGTCTTTTCTCCCTGGATGGGGATCTAAGATCCTTCATCACGCACCCATTGCACTTGGCACTCAGGAACCGGAGAGGCTGAGCTCCCAACCCCTCCTCTCTCGAGGCCGAGGTATCTGGCCCACATACCCATAAAAATGGCCCCGCACAAACTCCTGGATCCGGGCCTTGCTCTGAGCATGGAGGTTCTGGAACTCGTGCATGGCAGAGAACTTCTTCACATTCAGCCCGTTGGGGGTCACGATATCTGGGAATGGGGGAGAAGGGCCCAGGTTTCATGTCTTCATGCAGATCGATGTGGCCGAACGAACCATCGAAGGAAAGACCCCTTTCCTTTGGTAACGTCTTTGTTTCCATCATTCCCCTGTGAGTTCCCTCGGTGACCCAGCTGCCCTGCCACTCAGATGCCTTCTCGCCCAATAACTACACCTCCCATCAGCCTCTGCAAGCAGCGAACCAGGCAGGGAACTAATCCGCATTGGGGTTTCTGGGAGGTGCGGTTCTTTGGTTTGCCCTAAACTACCCTGGGCTGGAAAAGATTAAACATCTCCATCCTGCTTCTCCCAGAATATACCCTCCTGCCTTCAAGCCTCTCTTAGGGTCCCAACCACTTTCTATCCTCACAAAAATGAAAGCACATCACTGAAAAACTACAACTCCCATCAGCTCCTGGGAAGAAATTCTAGGAACATAAGGAGCTG